CTTCAGGGCACTCATAGCCTCTTCGGTTACCATTAGGATTCTGTCGAGTGTAGATGGCAGAACTGTAGCCTAATCCATTGTTGCCACGGAGATTCTGATCAGCAGTAAATAAACCTAGTTACGAAAAAAATAAATTCTGAAATCATCTAAATCTTAAAATGATATATGATATGATGGACTAAAGCATTCTGAACACATTGTGCCACAGCTCAGTTCTCTGTAGCAACAAGGATCCATTTTTAATTTTGGGTATATGGTTTTTAACAAGCTATTACAGAATGGTTCTTATGACTTGTACCTTGACTGCAATAGTCACCTTTCTAGTACCACAGAAGTTTGTGAATGCAGCAATTTGTATGTAAGCCATTACAAAAACCTTACCCTTGTTTCTCTCTCTGACAAAACACTCCTCATACCAATCCCAAGATTCCTGAAGACCTCGATCAGCTTTCACGTTGTTATTTTTTCGGGAGTTACGATTGGCTAGATTGTAGTTACTGTTTGGGGGACGGTTGTAATCTTGGGTATTAGTGACCACGCCATTTCTCAAAACATCTTCAGTAGCTACAAGAAAGTAACACATTTACAAACTTAAATTGGATTCCGTTTTCAACAGTTTCAATTGGTATGTAACAGTGACCATTGTATTCGGTTGTGAAGAGACAAGTTTGACTTTTAACTACCGAAAACATGACTAACTACCATAGATAAGCTATGGATGTCAACAAACGTTAACTATCATATCTCAATGCTTTTACACAACAGAACAATTAGAAGATCTATTGTGAACATATCTCTCAGAGAACTGTTGTCAGATTCAAGTGACGTTAGTGAGATCCCATAAGTGAATCAAAAAACTTTGCTTACTTCCTTCTGGTTGGCACATATACTGTAAAACCTGGAATTTACAAGAATAAAATATGTATTAAGATCGATGCAAAAGAAAATTAATGACACAAAATTGCAACGATAAAGGACGGAAATTTGATTGACCAATCAGAGGACTGTAACACTGAAATCATCCCATAATACTCGATTGAAACATAATCTTTTTATGGCTTTGGACTACCTCAGTAGGATTGTCATCTGCTGGACGATAAATTGCAGTAGTTCTGAATCTTCAAGATAAGAAATATTCTGATGTGTCTGCCTGCGAGTTGGGTGATTAGGAGGCGAGGGTTCAAATCCTCTTCAAGATATGAAAAATTCCGCCAGTTGACCTGATGTCGTCATTCAAGCCCCAATAACTTTGTTACAATTTGTAAAACTGGCTCAACTTACCAATCTACAATTTTGTTTCTGTGGGTTATCATCTTCATTTCCTCCACAACCATGTTGATTATACCACTCTACTGTTAATATAGTCTCTGCATCAGCCTCACTTTGGAAATAGGCCTGAAAATAAGTATATCAGATAATTACTTTGTTTTGAGGATAATGACTTAGTTGTTTGGATAATGACTTAATTGTATGGATAATGACTTAATTGTATGCATAATTACTTAGTTTTAATGATTTATTTGATAAAAAAGAGATTCTCTTGTAACTTTATGACACCAGATAAGTCCACTGATGAATATATACTCTTATTGATCGAGTTTGAGAATTTAAATTTTATATTCATTCTAAGGGGTAGTATCCCTTTAATAACAAATGAATGTATAATATTTGTACCAGTTAGTAACAACTCATATAGTTACAGGATACTGTCACTTCAGACTTCAGATATAAAACATGAGAATATCAAATAAGGAGATTGTTTGCAATATCAAGTGTTCAGAATGAGTTGTATGATTCATTTGATGTAGACACTATACTTGACAATGACCTACTTCTTTCATCAATTATAGGATATAAGCTTAGTCATCTAAATATTCGTTTTTTTTGTCTTAACAAATGATTCAAACTAGAAGTCAAACTATTTTGAAGTAATGGTCACTTCAGACTTCAGACTTCAGACTTCCTTTTTTGATTCTTTCATATACTTTAATTCACATACATATTCATTATTCATATTACTTTCATAGCACAAAACATTGCGCACATCCAAAACAATTAGTTTTAACTATCAGTGATATCGTCTTCTAAATTTTACTTTAGCACAAAATATTGTGTACATCCAAAGAAATTAGTTTTGAGCGACCTTATTCATCAAAGTGATGTAATCGTCTAAATATTTCTTTTCATAGAACTACAAAACATTGCGCACATCCAAAGCAATTAGTTTTAACTGACCTTATTGATCTTCCAAATTTTACTTTCATATTAGCGAATTGTGCACATCCAAAGCAATTAGTTTTGAATGAAATTTTAATTCAAGTTTTTTTTAACTAGTTACCTTCTGAATGTAGAAACGAATGCATGAAAATATGGAAATAAATTCTTACCATTTTATATTGTTTACTAGCATCTTTTCCATGAGGGGCACTTGTTACATCTCCTACATTGTATCCTCCTCTATTGTTATTCTGGAAGATAGAAAAACAATATTAGAGATCCTTTAAACATACTGTCATCCATTTGGTTTTCAGGCTATTACTGGTCATTTTCTTGATAATTATACTGGAAGTTTATTTGATTTACCAGAATATACAGAGATTCTGTTGTCCACTGATGAATATATACTCTTATTTGTCCATTTTATGTCCATTCTAAGAGGTAGGTTACCTTTAAGCATTTAAATATATAAAAACATCTTAAGGTATATATTTAAATGTTGATAAAAAAAAAAAAGTTTTCGTCTCAAAATGAAAATTTATCGCTAAAATTTAACGTAAGCTCACCTGAGAGTCAAATAATCTGTTGGCGTTCGCCCGTTGAGCAGACTTTTCATTCAGTCTATCATTACTACCTCGGGGATTGTGTAGATATATATCAGCCAATGACTGACCAGCTAATAACGCTAGTATTACAAACAGCTTCATCATCTCTAACAATGATGACCCTAAAATATCAAAAAAGGAAAAAAATGACAAATATGTTTGGAATTGAAAAATCAATGGAGTTTTACATCATACTGTTCTCCTCTAGAAAGAAATAATTCTGATTACTATTACTAAAATATCAAACGAAAATAACATGAAACAAAGTTTTTACATCCTAATCTTCTCTGTTAAGGTTCAAGTAATGAAGACAAAGGTATGCAGTATGGAATGAGGCAAATTTGACAGGACAGCTGCATAAGTCTATTCATTTTACAAGGGACCTTTAGCACAGCCTATAGCACATGAAGCCTCAGAAATACTTAAATATATAAAACTTCAATATAGTGTGCATTGAGAACATTCAGGATTAAATTTTTTGACCAAATTACTAAGTGCCAATTACTAATTGTGCCTATCACAAATTATGCATATTACCAATTTGTGCCAATCACTAATTCTATGCCAATTACTAATTGGGTCTATCACAAATTATGCCAAATACTAATTGTGACAATTACTAGTTTGTGCATATCACTAATTTTATACCAATTACTAATTGTGCTACAAAACACCTGCCTATTCAAACAAAATTCAATATCCCTATTCAAATATTGCCAGTATGACATTTTCCTTGTTGCCCAATATTCAATAGATCACCAAATAAGTTATGACTCATAGAGGACACAGTCAATCCTTATACTGGCCATTTCAAAAAATGGTGACAGGCAAAAAAACAAACCAAAATTTGTCACTTAATAACCAAAAACATCAATTAAATTTTCAAAGAAATGAAGAAAAAAGCATTCTAAATTGTACCCACCTGATGCCAAATAGAATCTCTCAAGTTATGGCCAAGAGTGAACGTTCAGAGTCTTTTTATATCCAATTTTTTGATTGAATTATGAAGTCATTTCACTCAAGTGTGAGAATTGTTATTCCTTGATCACGTAAATAACTTTTATTATCCTTCCGCCTGATTTGCTATCAAAATATCCTACAGTTCATTGAATGTACACAAATTAATTTTCAATTGTGAACTAATTTAGTGGTATTGAACGTCAGGGGGTGGACGAGTCACGACAAGTCTCCCCTCAAGCCAAGATTAAAATTTAAACCTTAGAACTAATTTTTTGACGTAAGGCGTATTTATGTGAGTGATTTGGTTTGTGATTATTTTCGGTCGAACAATAATCAGAAATAATTCGACTTCATATCAAAATAAAACTGTTCAGATGGAATTAATTCATAAGGGATTTGAGGAAAAATTATTGTAAACATTATTCAGTTGAGAACTAACTCTGTCAAGATGAAGTTTGTTCTAAGTTTGATATTTTTGGGGTTGAGTTGTTGTCAACTAACCTATGGTGATATCTATTTTCATAACCCAAGGTATGTATTAGTCTTTCCTTTATTTGGTAATTTTGAATTAAAAGTGTTTTAGAATTCAAATATCTTGATTTGAGGATAAAATTTTGA